TCACTTTGGTTTATTCAGTAGTATTGCGAAATCTCCTCAACAGACAGCTGCATCATTTGTGTTTGTGGCATCATTTATGTAGAAGTCAGTCAAATTACTTCATCATGTTGTCAATATAACACTGGAGGTTCTGTCTGATGTCAGCTATGGCTCAGGTTTTGATGACAGTGACTGAAAATACACAAGGTTTTACTTTTTCTGCATGGTATGTATCAATATCAACAGCACAACTTTTTACATTACTACACGTTTTGGTAGGTTCCTCCGATGGAAAACCCCCCACACGATGCGAAACCTTTGGAAGCAGCTTTGTGTTGGTCTAAATAACTTTCTTGTAAGTACAGCAGTCAAACAGTAGATGGAGCTATTGAGCAACAACGCCATATCAAAGACTTTCATGCCAGTAGCCTGTGAATTAATGAATTACCTACAAATTTAAAAAAAATTCAGTGAAAGTACATATGTTGAGTAACAGCATTTATGAGTATCAAAAGTGAAACCAGATGTTATGCAGAATGACCACTTTCAGTGTTTTATCATTACATGCAGCCTATTAGATTGTTAACCTTGTGTTACATGTTTGGTGTCCTGTTCAAAATCATCTTCAATATCAGTTCTAAAAACAAACATGAATATTTCAATCTGCTGCATTTGCTTCTATAAAAATAAATATTTATGCCAGACGATGTGAAAATCTACTTTTGTTACAGTCACATGTGCTTTTGTAAATGGATCATCTGTGCTTTCATTCTCAGATTGTCCCACTTTCTGCTGAGCTGCGATAACACATGAATGTATTGATTTGAAGATGCCCAGTACTGACATATTTGACCTTTTACTAGCTTTCAGATCCTAATCGGTCAATATTTACGCTCACAAGGGACCAGACTGAATGAATAATAGTTTTTTTTTTCAGGCTGATCATTCCCTCTCCAGAATCCATCATTTTCACTGAGCATATTTGTGTTGTTTGTTCACACTGTTTTTCCTCGGTTAATATTTTTAATGTTGATCTGGTACATTCAATAGGTTGATTATACTGTAAACAGTAGATCTGTGTGTGTGTGTCTGTGTGTATGAGTGTGGGCATAGGCATGTCAATGCTTTCAGCTTTATTAAGTGATACTGGCCCAATGTGAGAGTGAGGCTGTTTATAATCAAATTATTCTGGAGCACCAATCCAATTTCCCGTTACAGAATGGAGTGAGATTTCATGTGTGTGTGAGAGAATGTGCATGTGTCATAGTGAGCTGTTTGTAGATAAAGAAGAAGAAGAGCCTCCGATTTTTGCTCCTTTTGTGTGTGTGCATGTCTGCATTTGCTTTATCCTGTGAGCTAACATGCTAGCCACAGCTCTTTAGGTGGATATGTCAACTATAATGGTCCACAACAGTGAAGAGACAGCATGTCATGAGCAAGATGATGCTGATCTTTTCACATAAAGAAGATGTTGCAGATGAACATCCAAGTTTACCACAGAAACACTCATACAGATGCTGCAATTGAAAAATCATTAAACAAACTGTAAAAGCTATGAGCACTGATTCCATGGCTTCATGGGTAATTCAGGAGTTGATGGTGCTCCTTTTCTCCCATTTTGCCTAAAGTGGATGTGTGTGTGTGTGTGTGTGTGTGTGTGTGTGTGTGTGTGTGAAGAAGAAGAAGAGAGAGAGAGATTAAATAACTCTCATTAGGCCTATTTGCTTTGAGAGCACAAAGAGACTTTTCTGGCCATTTCAGCATCTCTTCCTGTCCTTTTCTGCCTGCCTTATCTAGATGCTGTTTCCATAGAAACGAGGTGCAGGATGCCCTAGGAGAGATGAGAAGGGTGGGTGACAGGGTAAGTTGACAGAGAAACTGAGTACACCAAATAATTAGGTTGGTATGCTGAATAAATGAATCTGTATTCCCATGTCATACACCTAAAGGTTCCCAGCCCACATGAGCCTATAAGACACTGCTTCAGGCAGTGGATAACACAATAAGGGAACTGAAAACATAATGCTACATAAACCCCTGGTTACTAAACAGTTTTAACATACCACACTCTCTCCTGTTGATGATAATCATTTAACAGAAACGTGCCATCACCTGTTGTACCTAGCATACGATGATGCCCATCAGGCATCTTCTGGAAAGGTTTAACTTGAAGATCATGATAAAAAGGACACTAAAATATACATTTAATTCTCAACTCACACAAGAGACACTTTCTGTCCTCCTCTGGGAATGAATGAAAGATTCCAGTTTCCAGAGCTAAAGGCAAAATAGCAGCTCTTAACCGAGCATTGATAGATGTCTGGGTTCTGGTCAGGCTCAGACTGACATACTGCTTGGGATGGTAATTGTTCTCAATTACACAATATATTCTCACTTTAAGTTTACTTAATAATTCTTCTGACTTAAAAAAAAAAATTTAATAAAAGCTTATTGTAACTTCCCTACAGGGCAGCTTATTTTTGAACTCTACAAGGAATAACTCTACAAGATCTCATGTGCATGGATAGTTATTTGAACAAACCCAGTATAAAACCCATTCGGTATGTCTATTGTCAGGCATAGTGACAAGAGACACCTTTATGGAAACATTTGCCTGGGTCAGGGAACCATAGCTGCTAAAAGGAAACAACCAGGTCTTAATTTAACTTGAACTAAAGAAACAGAAGGTTCCCACCATGTATGGCTTTTTCAAACTACAAAAAAAGAATAGTTTTAACTGTTCAACAGTGCATGCTGGGAAGTCTGCTAGTTTAGTTTTATTGTTAAAAACTAAACATTCTAAGTTGATGAACGTGAAATAAACAAAATGTACACATTTACATTACCAAAGCTTGGTTGATTCCAATTCATTTCTGTATCATGTTTTACTGTGTTGTTACAGACAATTATATTTACATAGGTATTATGGGTAATTTGTTCCACCCTAATGTACTTTGCATGTGTAGTGAATACATGCAAACGTTTGAAATATTATGTACATATTTGTTGTTGTTTTAACATCTGAAGAAGTCAGGACAGCTTGTTCTAGCAGCTGTGAGGGGTCTCTACTTCTCTCCTATCAGATGACACAGATGGAGTCTATTAGTCTTTTGTGAAAGTGTGTGTGTGTGTGAGTAAAAACAGGCACTGAGCTTGGGGCAGAGAACCAAAGAGCAGTCACTCCTCTGCCTCCTCTCATCACACACACCTCCAGCCTCATACCCTGTGATCCCAGTTGCTGTCCCAGTCACAGCTCAGTAGGAAGCACCAGAGCCTGGATAGAGATGGTGTAACATCTGGGTCAGCATGTGCTCTGCAGATGGAAACTGGAGTGTAGGGCTGCTGGACAGTGACAGTGATCACTCACCGCTGTAACATCTATGCATATGCCTTGGTGACTGGAGTATATGATCTACACACACTCACATATGTTTATTCTTCAAGTAACAAGACTGCAGGATTAAACTTTAGTGTTATTTTGAGACCCTTTCGTTACATTCCAGCAAAGCAACTCTACCTGTTTTCCAGTGTCCAGTCTTCATGTTAAGTTACATTAACTGGCTGCTATTTGTAGCCTTATATTTACAACACAAACATGAGAGTGGAACTGATTTAGTCATGTGACTCTCAGCAAGAAAACATACAACCAGAAAACTATGGCAGGAGCTATGGTCCTATTGACAATATCATGATTTTAAATCAAAAATATTATTCTTAATTAATATGACAGCCTGCAGTGAAGACATAATGCCACTACTTCCGCTGTAGGGAGTAAAAGCCTGAGCCCTGCAGGCTGTTGTGTTAAAAGCACTGGGAGGTTCTAGTACTGCCAAGAACTGGAAAAGACCTGATCTGCTGTACCACTCCAGCTGACACACATAAATCTAAAAGACAAAAGCAGCCCCTTTGTCACACACAAAATATGGGCGCCATCAAGGAGTCAGCTATCTATTCCCATAGTGAAGGAAACAGAGGAAAGCAAAAACTTAAGGTGAAACAGCCATGTATAATTCATCTGGCTGACTTTACATTTTGGCGGCGCACCCCTTTCTCTGCTAACCAGTGAGTTGTCAAGTGTGTGTTTGCATAATCTTGCCCAAGTGAAACAGTTTTGTTGTGGTGAAAAATGGCAGATTAGTTTATGGAACTTCAAAGTCAGATATAGAAAATGTGTGTGAAAGGATTAGAGACACATCAAAGAATAAAAAAGGAGGATACACTGGGGTGTGGGTTTGCGTCTTTTTCATTTAAGGAAGCAACATGATGCCTGGGCTGGGGCAGTTAAATAGAGCACTGGGCTTCATGGATGTTGAATTCATTTGAGTTTAGCTTTATTCAGTGCACAAAGCTGATTTTTACATGGCCTGCTATAGGCTATATATGGCAACGCTGGAAATCTTACTTTTGTACATTACTTTTATATTCTTTACCATCAGTGTGACAATAAAATGTCAGTACTCAAAATTATGTATTCGACTTTTGATAAAACAGCTTCAAAAAGATTGTAGCGCATCAAAGTTATGACTCATCTTCATGTTTTCAGGTCAGGATATAATTACGTGCTTCAGAAATGAGAAGAACCATCAAGAAAGATGCACAAAGTGTAGTTATGTGTGCATGTGTGAGTGTGTGTTTTGCTGGAAGAAGCAAAATGTCAAATCCGAGCAGAGAAAGAATTGTTGTGTTCACCGTGACTGATAGACTCCGAGGGCGGATTAGGTAACTATATTTGAATGCCTCTTAAGCAATTACGGTTTTGTTATTTTGACTGTATGTAGCCCTAAATAGAGGGATTATGCTGCAGTTTGGCAAATAGCAATGCCAAAATATCTCAGGGGGGTTTAAAACCCACATGGTATGGTTATGAAATAGGCTTTTTAGTTTGTAAAGTGCTAAGAAGGAGGTGGTGTACAGGGGAAAAAATCAGCAAGAGTGGGTTCAAAAACTGAAAAAAAGCCTGCAGAGGACTGAAAGAGACTTAATACATGCTTTGGAAACCTAATTATGTAATAGTTAGTTAGAGTTGGTTTTAAAAGTTCATCTGACAAATAGGGTGTCCTGGTGTGGTGGCAGCTTGCTGGCTCCCAGCAGATCTATAGTGGGAAGATTGTAGCATTATCCTCATAAGTGGATGCTAATCTTGTGTGGAATCTACTGCAGCACTGCTTCCAGGGAACATAGCCTGTGCAGCGCTAATGTTACCACCTCAGGACACTAACATACATGGTTAGAGTCATAAGCTCCTCTGTGCATGCAACTATTTGCAGACTGTCTCACAACATAAAAGTGATTGTTTCTGTATTTAGATCTGTTTGTGAGGATCAGATGAAAGTGGCCATCCTTTATGGTCATACAGTACAGTTATAATTAAACTGCACAACTGCCTAGTTAACTGAACTGTCTTTTATATGGGGAAATAACATGTGGAGTTCAGACTTGACAGTCACAGTCAGTTTTGATCTGTTCATATGGGAACATGAGTCATGGATGATGATGAGGAGGATGAGGGTTGGAAAATGTTGGACGTTTCTCTGCAAGTGTAGATCTGAAGAAAACACTGCCAACATCACTGACAGCTGCAGTGGCGGTGGACATGTGGTAAAATCACTTTGCATAGATCATTTAAAGAAGTCCAAGACAAAAGTTGGTGGCAGAAATCCAGAAGTAGTACTGAAAAGAGGAAAGTATATTTAGTAAAATGGGAGAAATTCAGGAGGAGAAGGTAAAGAGCATCATGTTTGTTTGACTCAATTAAGAGTTTTCAATTTCTCCTTTTGAAGGAATCAGACTCAGCAGGACAGGGAAGTGAGCAAAGTTTAACTTCCCTTCCAAACCAAAGCAAATTAACTCCATCTTCACCTTCAATATAATAACCTCTGCACGAGTTTCAATCTTTAACCTGAAGGTGTTTAAACCGGTGGCTCCTCCTCTCTGTCAGTCACTCTTTGTGTTTATGGTAGAGTGCAATAAGTTTCCAATAATCTTTACTGTCCCCGTGTGGGTGTGCCACTGGGCGGGGACACACAACCTGTCGAGCCCACTGATTGGTCTGTAATTCATAAATGAAGGCGGGACTTATTTAATTATTGGCCGTTGTGGCTGCCAATCGAATGCAATTATGTTGCTTTCAGGGACTGTTCGTTTTTTTTTCCGATGAGAAATTGCAGCCAGTGGAGGAAAACAGCATTTTCTTTGTTCATTTGACCTTTGTGTGGTGGTAGAATTCAGCTAAGTACATTTAGTCAAGTACTTTATTAAGTACAATTTTGATACTTGTTTATTTCCATTTCATGTTACTTCTGCTCCTCTAGGTTTCAGATGTAGCCTACTTTGGAGCGGTTTATATCAGCCTTTGGTGCAGTTTTGACTGGAACACCCCTTTAAGTATTGGCCCTAAACACTTTTTTATTACTCCTCTTTTATGCAAATATGGACGCATTATTCATAAAGACTGCTGAGGGGACCTTTTCTACTTGCTTAAAATAACTCAGCAGCATGGCATCTATCATTATACATAAAACGAGTGTTAAATATTATTCACCCTTTTCCCTAGTTCAAATGATTCTTTTTAACTATTTGTAGTTTTAGTGTTAGTCGGTATAGATATTGATCGGGAAGAGGCCAGAACCTACTGCAACAAAGCTTCGACTGTGAAATGACCGTTTCCGACAGCCCATGAAGGCAGGACTCCCCGTTTCCAGTTTACAGTCTCAGCCTTCTTTCAGAGAAGCGCTGTGCAGTTCGGGGAGCGCTCATATCCAGTCATACGCACTTTAAACAGGATGTAGCCATTGACACAGACCACGGAAAAAGAAAAGGCGGCTTAAACTCTGCGACGTGACAAACACCAGCGAGCCAGAAATGAACGTCACAGCGGAGGTGAAGGAGAAGACGGGAGGTCCCGCTGACCTGAGACACCCAGCACCGCCTCAGCCCCGCACGGTTAACGCACACTGAAAACACCAGCATAGCCGAAATTCTCCACATCTCGTCGGTGGACCTTGGGAGCGATAATGGCGAGCCAGGGCGACTGCTCTGTAAAGGTTGCACTGAGGTAAGCCTCCGACGTGTGTCTGCTGGAAATCCGCCGACCTTAGCAGACCACATTGTGTCTGCGCCTGCTGGCGATCAATTAAATGCACCGTGCTTACCTCCAGTCTCATGTTAGCATCGACACCCCATAGGTAATGTCTCTGCTCCCTGTAGGACACAGGAGGCTACACGGCTATTACGCCTTGGTTTGGTAACACATGGGTGGTGCTCTGTGCGGCATTGATAAGGCGAAGCATGCGCGTGTGTCACGCCATCGCCATATGAATGTTGTGTGTTGAGGGGGAATAAGTTGTCTGTTTAATGTGAAGCTTAACAATCAGGATTTAACATTGGCTGAAGAGGCAAGGGCAGATGCACCCAGGTGCAGGGAGGAGAATGGGCGTTTCTCTCTTTACCAGTGTTTAAACTATTATTCTAGCAGGCGACTACCTGCAGTCTCACCTCATCCTAACCATGTCTAGTGGACATCTCACATGTGCACGACTGAGGTAGCTCCATAACCAGGCTCTGAGAGCTGCTTTTGCCCTGCCTCTGCCACTGTATTGAGCACAAAGAGATGCTCTCCTTCGGAGCTGTGCCATTCACCACCTTTGTTGGAAATGCACTCCAAAGCCCGAGCAGCCAAGCAGCTTTTGGATTCATATGCGCAGATATTAGTAGCTTAAGGTCAAGACCTAAAGGAGACTGAATGAGAGCATCTGAATATGTGTGCCATGGCAGTTTGTGTTCGGCAACCTCTAAAAGGGGGGTGAGGGTGTCATGACTTAAGTGTGATTGTGGCTGCGCCTGTAATCAAGCTCATTTTACAGTGTGTGCAGCTGAGGCGGTGGTCTGACAGACTCTCTGTTCCCAAACTGTCACATAATGCACCCCAGTTGTTCATACTGTGTCCTAATGAGAGCCCATTATGAGGAGATGCTGTCTTGTATTGTTTTGCACAGATGCAAAGGATGACACTTGGATCACAATAAGCTTCTTTACACCTTGTCTTATTGTGCAAAGGTAAAGCAACTGCTGCAACATAATAGTAAAATGTCTTCTTCAGACCGCCAGTTTAAGATCCATTGATTTAGCGGGGGGGTTGAGGATGGGGGTCGGCCCAGCAGAGCAGCCTTTTAAGATGAAGCTGGCAACTGATGGCCCCACTTCCCCCCAGGGAGGTTTCAGACTCACTTGTCAATCAGCCGCTGAGTGAATCTCTTTTGTGCTCGTTCACAGAGAAACTGTAACAGGAAGTTGGCTGGGAGGTGCTGACAAAAGAGCCAAAGAAAAAAAAAAACCGAAAGGTGAAAAGAGAAGTGCAGAGCCAGCTGGTGGCTGCTGCTCCACTGAAGTTATTGATTTAAGTCTTTAGAGCGACTCTAAGGTTTGTTGATGGAGTGTAACTGAATGAATGACGGTGACTCTGTGTGTTCAGCTGCCATATTGGCAGGATCACCAGTGTGAGCCAGAGGTTTCACTGCAGCCAGAGAGTCAAATCAGTACAGCATGTTATGGTCCCAGCCACACTTTAAATTTCAAAATCAGCTGTAGCCCACTGGCACACATTTCACATGCTAATTAAACAGAGTTTATGTAATTGTGGTGGGCGAGCACTTGCTCATTTTTGTGCAATCTGTGCGTGTATTTACATGCCTTATGAGTACCCCCAAAAGTGTCTGCCTTTGACAGGAAACCCACACAAATAAATATGCAGAGAAAGATGACTTCCTGCTGTATAAACGATGGGTTTCCCGATGACCCCTGAGCAGATTTTTCCCCCAGAGAGAGAGAGAGAGAGAGAGAGAGAGAGTGTGTCTGCTGCTCAAAAGGGTGGGTGGTGTTTAATTGCTCCCATGTTGTGCTTCCCTCGGGCAGACTGCATAACTACTGCTAAGTAGTTTGTGTGTGCATGTGTGAATATGCATTTAGAGGGCAACAAGGTTGTCGTAAGGGTTAACCAACACACATGGTCTGAGTCGGCAGCATCCATTTCCTGAATGTCTGCACTGCCTTCCATAAACAATGTACCTATAACCAGTGACATGACTTAAGGTCCTGCATTCAGACCTGACTGCCTGAGCAATGCACTGGACGCGCACATACACAATTTAGTCAGCCAGACATCACGACTTGCATGTAATATAACTCCTTACTAAGTGACTGCTTCTGACTTGGCCGCTGCATTTTTATACAGCTGCATTCACATCAGCTTAGTCTGATGCAAACAGGCTATAAGAATGAGTAGACTCCTACATTTTCTTAGCATGACCCAAGTCAAACCCCCCACACACTACATGCAGTTTCACTTCCTCCTCTTGTTGAGTACATTTGCCCCAGACTGAAGGCTTTATGTTAGAACTGGTACTGAGAGACTATAAATGTAGCTTTTGTGTGTATGCATGTATGTTGAATGTAATGTCACATGAGATTTATGAGCAGTGTGCAGATTTCCTTTCGCATGTCGATCTCTGGCCGCTTTGCCCTTTTTATCCTCTGCAGCTCTGCTGTTTGCTCGTTTCAGACCGGTGACCGACTTTGTCTTGCACCAAAGTGCTAAGTCGGCCTCAGTGTGTATAAGGACAAACCTGTTAAGTGCTGTTGCAGTCTTTGACCGTGTTCCTGCTGCTAAATGATCTGCCCATAACAGACTTTTCCTCAAGGTTCCCACCTTTGTCCAGTTTGAGCTTTGCTGCTAGAAAAATGACCAGAGGAATCACCTAGGAGGCGATTCTTTGACACCGTGTGTTTCATGTATTTGTGGTTCAAGATGATGAGGTTGAATGAACAAAAACTAAGCTCTGCAAAGTATATTCAGTGTTCTTTCAGACCTCACTGTAGGTTGATGGGGGCATTGTTTTCACTTGTGATGCAGAACACTTTGGTTTAAGGGTGATGGGAGCTCAGCTGAGGGAAATATGAACTTTTATCTTTTTGGTACTCTGCTGACGTGTTGCTCATCCACTTCAAAACAGGGCTGCACAAAAAACACAATGTTTTCTCATACATGTATGTGCTGCAGACATTTACCACCCCGTGACCAAAACACTGGCTTCAAATCACAACAAGAGTAGTGGAATACAACTGCAGAAGTGGCCCTTCACAGCTGATACACAAAGGCTTTAAATGGGAGTAAAAAAAAAAACAAAACACGGTGGTGTTTTGTTGTTGGATGGATGTGTGTCCTGTGTGGGCCACCAGTCTCGCCTGTTTCCTGTGTGTGTTAATAGTTTGCCACACAGGCTCTGTCTGGGTTACACACCTCCCCGGGGAACTGCCTTTAAAATCTATGGACTTTGGGAATCTGTGTCTATTTTAGATCAGGTCACCAGCCTACGATAACTGGGTAGTGCTGCAGTGGAACACTACATCTCAACATTCATCCCCCCCATAGACCAGCTTGTTGGAGATTTCTTGTCATGAGGGTGTTCTTACACTACATCTCAACATTCATCCCCCCATAGACCAGCTTGTTGGAGATTTACAGTTTCAGTTTTGCTTTGTTGATGAGTCACTGATAAAGTTCTTTCTAATTGGTGATCTGGACTCAACCGAGGGAAACGGGGCAGGAAGCACGACAGAGCGCACGCCCTAGTTGGTCGTCCACAGCTGTGCATCACTTCCTCCTCATGTCGGCCTGCTGGTCACATGCTTTTTTTTGTTGATTTTGCACTTCAGACTTATTATGCCCAGAAGTCCAGTGTGAATGTCTTTTGTGTACTGAAGAAGCCGCCTGTCTGCCACTGCTCAGCACGGCGTGTATGTGTTTGTGACATTGCTTTCTAGAAGACGGAGGCCTCAGAAATGACACCTGAAATCTGGTTCCAGAAATTTTCACCAGAAAGTAGTTGGTAGTTTTTGTTCCCAGGAAATGAAGCCCCAAAACATTCCCTGGGGTAATAGCCCCTCAAGTGCATTGTGCTGTGGGTTTCCACAGCGGCGCCGCAGCCACAGGACGATTAAACAAATTAGCAGCTTACGTAAAATCGTGATGTTTGGCAGCGGGGTTGTAAGAATGTTGTGTGCAAGATGCTCCACAGTATTTGGCCAGTCAGTGACGTTCTGCACTGCAGGCCTCACACAGCTAGTTCGTGGACCTTCAGGAAGTAGAGGCTTTTTTAGGGGGGTAGTAGAAATATGGCCGCAATTAAGTTTAGACCCTGGTTCCTCTGGCAGAAAGGCAGGTAGAGGAACTAAGTTCCCTCAAAAGGTTCCTGTTTCCTGTTTAACCAGTGTGACATAGCGATCTACAGAAAGCAAACAAGAATCATTTCATGACACTAATAGACTTAGGAGTAATTCTAGGGGCTTCCATTACCTGATTTCTAACAGTAGAGCTGTTGCATAATCAGTCTATCTAGGCTCAGGGCTTTGTCATTAAAAGTTGCTGTGCAACTGTTCTGTTGATGAACTTCTCCCTATTAAGTGCATCAGCACTCTCAAATGGTGTGCTGGTATTGCAGAATGACTTCCTGTAAGGCTGCTGCTGGTCTATCCACACTTCCGGCTCACTTCCTGCTTCACAAGTCACTGATGAGTCTGTTGACATGATGCAGTAAAGACTGAATATTCAGTGAAATTATGAAACTGAAAGATGTGTAGTTTGAGTGACAAAAAGGGCCTGTTGTTCCTTATTGAAAGATGGAAAATATGCGATGTAGCGTGTTCTGACCATGTTTTGTGTCCACAATACGTCAATTCTCTCTAAATGTTTGCCTCACACTTTGCTTTTCTCTTGCTCAAGCTCATCTGCACTGTGAGCAAAATAAAGCATGAAACTGTGACCAAAATGCTGGAATGCCACCAGTTCCCCCCTCCGGCTCTTTCCACCTCCTGTTTGCCCCTCTCCTGCATGTATGCGCACGCACACACACACAGACATCTGTGTTTATTTGAATTCATCCATCTGAATTCAGTAAAGAATGAAAGACGCTTCAGTCTGAACATTTGCATTTTTCTGTTATCACGGTCTCATCATATGTCAGCTGGAGCAGGCCTTCTAAACAGTGTCACAATTATCCT